TATACAAAATATAATATGCAAATCTAGACTTACATCCTAAGCTATAGATACAAAGAAAGCATTTCAATCGAAAGCAATTTAGAGAATCTATACTAAGTAAAAAAATAACATAAACAACATTAAAATATCCATACCATTAACCTGTACAGTTTCCTGCAAATGCTAATTTACAATTATTTTACTGATTAATAAGGTTTTTCTATAGCTTTTCACAAAGTTTCTTCTGCAGGGATTACTGGTGGAGGATTCTACACTCATACTGGTGGAGGAGGAAATTATCTTTGTTTAACCTCAAAACCAAAATACCTTAACTTCAAGAAGGGGTTTCAAAATGGTGGGAGAATGACTGGGACTGAGTACCAAGTCAGTGACAACACCGCCTTACTTCCCAAAAACCTTCAACATCACGACGCTCCGTGCGCTACATGTCATGTGACAACTCGAGGCTCCAAGCTGATGGTCCCTGGAACATACGAGTGTCCATTGGGATGGCACCGAGAGTATTATGGGTAATATGATGATGCTGTTGATAATGATAATAGTGAGGGTAATGTACACGATGAAGGAGAAGTGTTAGTGTAATAGCTGTTTCACGTTTTTTTGTACTGAACACTCCATCGTCCTTATCATCTATGCAGATATTTGATGACGGCTCACTACAGTCACAACCACCCAACCGATTTCATCTGTGTGGACGAGAACGCACAAGGAAGAACTGGTACACACCAAGACGTCGACGGCGCCTTGTTGTACCTAGTTGAGGGATATTGTGGGTCGTTGCCTTGTGGACCGTACGTTGATGGTTACGAACTGACATGCGCAGTGTGCACCAAGTAGATCTGACGACTGCATAGTAGTCTTGGTTAATAAACATACTTAGAGAAGTAAATCGATCAATAAGCTAAATAGTAAACATGCTGAAAACGAAATTAAGTTATATTTAATGAAGAATAAAGTTTCCTAAAGTTGCTTTTCTTTCTATTTGCAGTGAACAAAGCGTTCTCTTCCTCTTTAAGAAAATTCCCTGTTTGCCCTTGTTAGGAAAAGTAACTTCTCTTTAGGATTTTGACTGAAATTAAGGAACTTGACCTTGGCAAATGCTCAACATAAATAACAAACCACATACAAGAAATTCCTAGACATATATGCATTCTAATCAAAGATAGATCTGAAAGATCAGTACGATTTCAGTTATAACCCTTTAAAATTCATCTAATCAGCTCTGTAAGTTGATTATAGCTCTAATTTCGAATCCATTGCAGTCCATGTGAAAAAATGACAGTTCTGTGCAAGATTCTGTTTACTTTATTTGCTTTTGTTACTTGTGCAACGACTGCTAAAGATGGTTGGGGAAACTCAAGCAAAGCTTTGGATTCTTCTGCGTCACAGATAGCAGCTTTATCAGCTCTTCTGAAGAAGACTCGAGCTGACTTGGTGAGCCTGATGTCAAGGTGGGTAGGATATCATTGTTATTAATACAAAAATTACAGCATCAGACACGAGTATGAATCCCTGGTTCGGTCAACTATTATATAACTTTATTTCTTTCGAATAGTGAGTCTATGAGTAATAATTTTTCACACACTAAGAACATCGAAGATTCCATGTTTCAACACTAATCAGTTATATATATAATGAGTACAAGTGTGAGTAAACTGATTGGAAATCTTTTGGATGACATTTTCTAATTGGAAGACTTTAACAATGAGCTTTTATGTCTACAAGGCTATCAGATGATCGGGAAGCTGAATCCAAAATAAACTTCCTGCTGTGCTTCGACATGTTTGAACTTATAGATATCAATCTCAAAACGGTCATTGTCTCATCATTGCCATTTTTGCATCGACGCACCATTCTGTTTTGACAATTAAAGACGAAAGTTTGGTTAAATGCCTATACAAGCTAGCAAATTTGTAAAATATTGGTCTTGACAAATAATGCACAGTAACCATGTATTTTTTTCGTTTAAATTAAGATTGAAGCACATGGAAACAAGTCACGTTGCTGCCTTGAGAGGTAATTGAAACCTGTCTCAGTTTCAGTCAAAAAAAAGGCCTGACATAAGATACCGACTTAAGCATAGCTAATGTATCTCATCACTGATCTCTTTATCCAGGAAGAGATGGACGAGATGGGATTCCAGGAAGAACTGGTAAAATAGTATATCTAGTAATAAAATGATGGATGGGCAATAAAGACATCTAACTACATTTTTTTAACTTGATTAGTAAGTAATCAAAGATAATATCATTAAGGGAGGAAAGAAAGAAGGAAGGAAGAGAGGAGCGAAAGAAAAAGGGGAAAAATAAAAAAAGTAATGATGTGAMTCCCCTTTGGATGAGCTTCATTTCGCTCTTTGGACAAATTACGCAAATATTGTTAAATAAATGTAAGGAAGGACAAAGATATTCATGGTGACGTTCGGCAACGTTTCAGGTCGAGATGGCAAAGACGGACATGACGGCCAACCCGGACCACGAGGTATTTGCACAACGTCCATACATATTACATAAACAGGCCTTTACTATTGTACCTTTCGTTTCATTTGAGGCCCACCTGGACCAAAAGGAATACCTGGTAATGATGGTAAGAAAGGACCAACTGGTAGTGGAGTCTCGTATGTACGGTGGGGAAGAGATGTATGTCCTGGTGGGACTGACCTCGTTTATAAAGGTGAGAATATTATTTTAACACAATTATTCAATTCTTCAAAAATTCCATACAGATATTGATTTTTTATGGCTTTTTCTCAAGTTTGGAATTTTTTCCGGCTATTTTGTGAAATTTCATGTGACATTGGTTGTTCCTGTTCTAGGTATCACTGGTGGAGGTAACTTCGATCATATTGGTGGAGGAGTCAACTATTTATGTTTAACCCCAAAACCAAAATACCTTAACTTTAAGAACGGGTTTCAAAGTAGCGGGCGAATGTATGGGACCGAGTACCAAGTGAGTGACAACACGGGCTTACTTCCCAGTAACCTTCACGATCATGACGCCCCGTGCGCTGTCTGTCACGTGACAACGCGAAGCTCCAAGCTGATGGTCCCTGGAACATACGAATGTCCTTTGGGATGGCACCGAGAGTATTATGGGTAAGATAATTATTGCATTAATTATCATAATTATAGGCAGTGATGATTAATAGAAAATGATAATCTATATAATAAAGGCGACGATCACGCTTCACGCGCTTTCACTTTATCATCTTTTAGATATTTGATGACGGCATATTATAGTCACAAACGCCCARCCGATTTCATCTGTGTGGACGAGAACGCACAAGGAAGAACCGGTACCCACCAAAACAACAACGGCGCCTTGTTGTACCCAGTCGAAGGAGTGTGTGGCTCGTTGCCTTGTGGACCGTACGTTAGTGGCTACGAACTGACCTGCGCAGTGTGCACCAAGTAGATATAACGTGTGCATCAAGTAGTCTTGGTTAAATAACATACTTAGAGCAGTAAATTATAGTCCGGAAGATAACAGACATAAAATAGCCATATTGTTCACTTTTGTGATAAAAGCACCAAACTTTCAGGATATATAGGTTTTTGGGTTTAGATTGAGATTTGATTAAGACCCACTCAAACTAACGACGCTGAATAACAAACGTGTTGAAAACGAAATTAAGTTGCATTTAAAAAGAATAAAGTTTCCTAAAGCTGATCTCCTCTCGAGTTACAGTGAAAAAAAGGCTCTGAAAGAAACCTGAATGCAAAAAACTGAATAATGTCGAGAAATTCCGGACGAACTTCGAACTTTCAAAAAAACTCCAGGGAGTTTGGTCGGTGGAAATGGTCGGAGTTCGTTCGGTTTAGATGAAGGCAATTAAG